GTTCCAAAATTCGTAGCATTGTATTATTATAATAAGATTAATTAAATTTTACAATTTGTGCCATAAATTTACTACTTATATTTTAATTCAACACAAATTGTTGTCACTTGAAGAGTTGAAGTTGAATCATCTTTGAACACTGATCTTCATCCTAACATCCTACCCTGTAAAATCAAATTGTACCAAATTAGAAACTAATTCATCAATGTACGTTAATGCACCAAAGGAGGCGTTAGTTATAAAATTAAAATTACTTTTGGTATGAAATTTTAATCTTTCCAGCATTACGCAATGCATCAGCTTGGCCCGGCTTTGCCAACGCACCAAAAGCGATTCCACCCAAGTCAAACCAAACCGGCACACTGTTGCAATCACCGGGACATTCATCTGTAATATGAATTTTTATTGGATTTCCTGAACACTGAGGATTTGAGTTGCATTTTACCTGAAATGTACAATTGGTTCCCATGAGAATTATTAAACTAAACACACATAAACAAAACAAGATAAAGGAGATCAATGTGTAACTTAGTAACAAGTTACACTTTATCTAACATAGTACATTTGAATCCGGATCTCATCATTTCTTATCTTATTAAATGTATTATAAAAATGTATAATAAAATAAATTTGTTTTATCATATTAGCAAGGGTAAAACATATCATCTAGTTTATATACCTCGTAACATTGTCCACAACCTTTGCCATGTTGGTATAAAGCTTGATTTCCTGCAGCTATTAAGGAGTTGTATGGAGGATTGCCTACATTTCCAAATCCACAAGCTCCAGTATCTACAAATTAATGTAATTAAAATATTAAAAGTAATAATATATTGTGCTTCACACAATGATATCGGAGAAATATAATAATCTAATACATTTAATATACTCGTAATAAATAAATATATACCAGTTCCATGTCCATTGGGTGGACCGTACCATGTTGCAGTTGCAGGTGTGAATCCAGCTAAAGTTATATTATTAAACGAATTTATGCATAAACAGAAGTTAAAGAGTGTGAAGAACACAACAAGAACAATGTGGTGTGAAGAAGTCATGACTAGTTTTTACTTTGATTCTATTGGAAAATTTGGACTTTGAAAGTGACGTTTATATAGTAAACGAATTTTATCTACTTACCATATAATCCTATATTACATAACGTTGTGTAGAACGTACAATTCCTTGCACTTACCACAAATTGAGAATTCTAACCAAATAATTTGAAATTGGTAATCTTATTATACTAAATAAATTAATTACTATATATGTTCTTACGTATTAATTATTATATCAACATGTACGTTTATGTTAATATCATTTTACTTCCTCTTTTTTATATTTTACTTAATATCAACATTAATTGTGGGATAAATTCTTGTAACCTAAAATAATTTGCTATTTATTTTGTAGTTTACTTATATTTTTAGAACTAATTAATTATATAATTATTTCTTCCACAAATTATATAAGTATTTCTTGAAGTACTAATTGTAAATATGCACATGTGTGATTGAATAATACCCAATAAACAACAAAAATATAGTAAAATTAAATGATCAAAATAAATAAATAAACACATAAATCCTATAAATATTAGAGGATGATATTTTAATTTTTTTGATAAAAACATTATTATCTAGCATAATTTTTTTAAAATGCGTTGAACTTTTTTTTGAAAGCTACTAGCTCTATTACATTGTAGTATCTGTTCATATACTTTCTCAACATACTGAAACACAGAGAACCAATAACGCCTCCACTAAGGCTCGAACTCATAATCTTCCAAATGGAAGTCCAACCCGGATACTATTAGACCACATAGTCCTAGTAAAATGCATTGAACTTAGTACGTATTGTGTTTCAAAAGATTAAATTTAACCATTAGCGGAATAGATTAGTTTGGATACAATAATAATAATAAAATAAAATTCTACAATTAGGTTTTCATAATAAAATTTTCTATTATAACTACTCCGTATATTTTAACGTCAATATAATAATAAATGAAACGCAAATGTTTTGTTGCCAATAAATGAATGATGCATAGATTTCATATCAAATAAGATAAGATATGTAATAAAAAAAATACGCAATAAAAACAAAACTCTTCCTGCACGATTATTGAACGGAATGAATTTTTAGAGAATTACAATGGTATTACATAAGGAATGAAATATGTAAGAAATGAAACTGGAATTGTATTCTATTGTGTGTTTCACTGAAAGAATAGACTTTTAAAATTGTATTCAAGTGTTTGGTTAGTTAAAAGAAAAGAAATGGAATATGTTTTTAAAAAACATAAATACCCTATACAAAATATATAATAAAAATGATAATGATTATAATATTATTATTAATGAATAAATAAATATAAATAAATTATATATATACATATATAAACATATATATATATATATATATATATATATATATATATATATATATATATAATTATGTTCCCGTGCGGTTGTGCGGTAAGTAATGTGCGCGAGTTTTGTACTTAAGGTGCGTGAGTTTCGTCACTTCTCAACAAATTCTCAATGCAACAAGATAATGACTCTCCACATGCTCATGAGTTTTGAAAAATAATACTTAGGCTCACGATAACCACTTATGCATTTTTAAAACATGACATGCTAGAAATGCAATTTACTGTACAACATACTTCAATTCTATATATTACTGTGAACTCTCAAAGGACACTTAAACACGCTTGAAATTCAAAAAAACATGCTATGTACACTTCATCAATTGAAACCTGACAATAATCTCAATGAATCATAAAATAGAGTTTACGCATGCTCTTCTAACAAAACCAAAACAATTAGTGATCATGCTTCTCAATTTAACAATCAAATAACATCATACAGATCACATAGGCAAAACCAAGTCTGATGCTTCTAATTTTCCAACACTGGAACATTACTGTAACACAATTGCTTCACAAAATTTTTCATATAATGCTAATTTCTAATCCAAATTCAATGAAATCAAAGTCCAAACGTGCGTCATGACGGCCCTAAGGTACCGCGCCACAAGAGCCAGTGACACCCGGTCCGAAACGACATGTAGCTGAGCCACAAGAGCCCGGCCACTGCACGAACAAAACCTAACGAAACTTGCGGCAAGGCTAGAGGAGCCCCGCCGCCGAGGACCGCCCGGCGGCAGCCTATAGCCACGGCCCTTGACTAGGGTCGTGCCGTCACGGATCTAGCAAGCGGTTCCCCTCGTGGGCTGTTGGCTAGACCCGTGTGCACCAGAGTCTTCTTCTTCCCTTGTAAAGCAATTTCAGACAATTTTCCACTTCCATTTTAAAATTGAGATTTGTAGTTATTTTCTTCCTACATGTTGATTTATTTTTTATTGTGAATTTGTTGTAATTTTCTTATTGAATTTGCAGAAATTCTGTTTTTAGTTTTTTTTTTTTTTTTAACAAACTGCTATTAAATATTTATGTTGATTAAATTTGTTTGAGTATAAGCAGTTATCAAAAAAAAAAAAAAAAAGTTCGAGTATAAATAAACAATTAATTAAATTTGAGCTCCAATGTTTTTTGAAATATAGCTCCAATGTTAATTAAACAATAAAATGAAACAATTATATAAATGATTTTGAAGATTGCCATGGTTGTTGTCAAACAATTATGAATGGATTTACTCTCACATAGAGAAAGTAATTGCTATATTTTGTCAAGTGTTCAATTTGTTTTTATACTTCTATTTTATTTTATTTAATTTCAAGATCAAAAAGTTCATAAATATTTTTTTTCAATTAATTTTAACCTTAAGCCATGTCGCAACATTTGAATAATATATAGTGCGTATGAAAATTCAGTCAACAAATCATGTGTATCCTCTTAACAAATAAGATTATGATTCAATCATATTTTTATACCAGTTGAAGAGGTATGAATTTAGATTTTTTTAAAATCAAACTCAATTAAACTTTTTGTTTGACTTTCGAGTGTTATTTGGACATTTTCCTTATTATATTATGTATAATATACTTAGTTAACCATTTTCATATATTCCTTACAATTTTATTTTTTCTAATGGAAGAAAATAGAGATTATATCTAAATACTCTCATATAAATTTCAAATCAACAAGTTCCAAAATTCGTAGCATTGTATTATTATAATAAAATTAATTAAATTTTACAATTTGTGCCATAAATTTACTACTTATATTTTAATTCCACACAAATTGTTGTCACTTGAAGAGTTGAAGTGAATCATCTTTGAACACTGATCTTCATCCTAACATCCTACCCTGTAAAATCAAATTGTACCAAATTAGAAACTAATTCATCAATGTACGTTAATGCACCAAAGGTAGCGTTAGTTATAAAATTAAAATTACTTTTGGTATGAAATTTTAATCTTTCCAGCATTACGCAATGCATCAGCTTAGCCGGGCTTTGCCAATGCACCAAAAGCGATTCCACCCAAGTCAAACCAAACCGGCACACTGTTGCAATCACCGGGACATTCATCTGTAATATGAATTTTTATTGGATTTTCTGAACACTGAGGATTTGAGTTGCATTTTACCTGAAATGTACAATTGGTTCCCATGAGAATTATTAAACTAAACACACATTGTAGCGATGGTGGTGGTGGTGGCCGCGGCGGCGATGGTGGTGGTGGTGGTGGTGGCAGCGGCGGCGGTGATGGTGGTGGTGGCGACGACGGTAGTGAAATAGGATAAATTTATATATAGGATAAAAAAATTAGGTTAAAGAAAGGGGTAAAAAAGAAAATAGATTCTAAAATCTATTCCTGATGGTTTAGTAATAGGCTAATACCAGGTGGGGCCCTAGTAATAGCTATTACCTTGTTTGAGGTAATAGGCTATTACCAGGAATATTATTCCTGGTAATAGAAATGGTTACCAAACAAAGGAATAGGCCTATTACTGGGAATGCTATGTCATTCCCGGCCTATTCCGTGAACCAAACGGGCCATTAGTGTTTATTGTAGGCACATCTTTTGGGTGGGACAGCTGGCCTGTAAGGCTGCTCCATACCTAAAGCCAAGATCGAATCATTGACCTTTCGTTAAGGATGGATGACTCCCTTCCACTCAACTACACCCCCAGATTAAAGTGTTTATTACTTATAAAAGAAAGTGTAATTAATACTTTTGAAGAAAAATATAATACTTTTACGTTATGATTTAAAAGTATCATATTTTTTCTTCAAAAGTATTACATTTTATCTTTAAGTAACAACCACTTGTCATCATTACTTATAAGAGAAAGTGTAATATTTTTTTTTTAAATATAATATTTTTACATTTGATTTAAAAGTATCATATTTTTCATCAAAAGTAGTATTCTTTTATAAGTAACAAATATTTTTTTTCCTTATTAGTATTACATTTTTTAGTATAAGTATTACTTGCATTTTCATATTGACTCAATCCAATCCGACTCAATCTGTCTCACGGATATAGATTTATGAGACGGTCTTACCCAAATCTGATTTATATATTTTTGGACAAATAAGTTGCTTATAACTAAAATCAAATCAAGCATATTAAATACTTTATACATATAAAAAAAGTTAATAGTTAAATATGTTGTATAAAATGATAAGCTAATAAGTTGTACTATAAAAATTTGATAATGTAAAATGATGCAATATGCTAGCAAATGTACGTTAATTATATGGTAATTAATAGGAATTCACTATATTTCCTAATTTATTCAAAAACATCCTCTTTAAAAAGTATTACATTCTCCCTTATAAATAACACTAGTTATTACACGTGCTTTGCGCAATTAGACTAATGCGGCAATGCCCAATGTGTATTTATCAATTAGTGTTCCTTAATTGGTTAAAGTATTCATATAATAATGAGAGAGAAAAATGTGAAATTAATAAAGGATAAAGAAATAGTCTCGGTGTTTATATTATAATAAAAACATAAAGAAATTTGAAATAGCTAAGTTATAACTAAAGTGAAAACAAATAAACCACTAACTAAAGCTGACTATCTATCATGAAAAGAGTAATTTGAGCATAGTAAATTAATTTTTATTAGTGTGTGTTTGTTGAGGCTTGGAATTGTCTTCATCTTCTCCATCTTTAGTGAAGTTGAGTTTCCTTTTCTCTGGTTGTGTCTGTATTGCATTTTGTTTATTGGTGGTAGTGAATGAGAACGATTCGTGCAATGATGTTATGGTTTATGATACCATGTTTTTGCCTTGTTGTGTATAGGATTGGGACCTCAATTGTATTATATATTCTTGATCTTGTAAGCGGTTATTAATATGTTGAATTCGTAGCTGTTGACCCTGCAAGATGTTTATGTAGTTAGTCATAGGTTAATTTAGTATAAAACACGAGTGATTGTAGTTGGAAGAGGAGCAGTGCATGTTGTTCCAATTGCATAACTTGTTTGCTGGTTAAGAGTAATAGTTGTTCAGCACATTTCCCAAACACGGATGCAACAAGGCATCCACTTCCATAGTAATTTCCACGTCAAGTTTAAACCTATTATGTGTTTTTAGATTAGCATTGGTGTATTATGTTTGTGTAATGATTAGCAAACCATTCTTTCAACACTACTAAATTTCTCATTCACCTCTTTTAACCATTCGCACTGCCTAGGTGGAGGTCTAGTCCTTTAGTTTCAGGGGATGGGAACACAAGTACTGCACAGCTGATTCCACAAACGATCAATCTAAAGATCTATGTCAACCTGTGTAACCTGAAATCCGCTCACAAAATCAAAAGATAGGTGTAAATTTGAGCAACAATCATAATACAATAGTTAGTAGTAGTTGTTATACTGCACATACCTTTAACCAAGACGCAATCCAAGCCAAAGAATGTGTCAAAATCCCACATCCCCCAGGGGGAATCAGACTGAAGTATCGTAGAGATCCTTTCAAGGCATCAAACTATAAATAGAGTGAGACATTACAGTTTAGATACACTTGTAAATATAGTAGAAAGAATATCTCAAATGCTAAAACATATCTTACTCAATAGCGACAGCTAATTGCTTCAGGACAACAGATGGAGGAATAACACCTGCATCCAAAAAGTTTGGATCATCCAACAAGGAACCTGATTTGATGTCCTGACAGATATTAACAAAATCAACTGTTTTCTTTTTTCAGCTAAAAGAGATTCATCATACCGGCCATACTATTAGTCCATCAACTTTTATTAATAAGACCTAGAATTGTACTATTTAAGAATCAAGATTCCTTATACAAGAGAAATTATTAAATGCATCTCAAGTGAATATTTATAGCATGCCTGTTTGACAAAACTAATGGTTATGGATTACAATGATTATGGTTTATAATTAACGATAGTCAATAATCCATAATCATCTTAAAAACAATCTAAATAAATTTTCTTTATATCTTTCATGACTCTCAACTAAATTTCTCTTTCTCTCTGCAACCAAACCCTAACATAAAATACATCAAGAAGAATATGAAATGTGAAGATAATCCTAGAACAGGTCAAAAGTCCTGGAAGCAAAATGATAGATGAAGAAAAAGGAAGCACTATGTATTAGCACAAGAAAATGGTGGCCGGAGTAGTAGAAGAAATTACAACTCTATATTATGATAAATTTGTTATTATATATAATGATAATACAAGGCTAAACTATTTGCAGAGGAGAAGGTTGCTGAAGAAATTTCTTTGAGGAAAGGTATTTCACTTGGCGCAGCACATAACTTGCTATCCCAGGAAGAAAGACGATGACATCATTTTCTTATATGAATGTCACCCTATTTATCTTTATTTAAGCTTTATGAGTTGGTCTTTCACATATCTTATCCTTTGTAAGAGGGACGGGCAATATGAACAAAATAGAAATACAGTAAAAAAAAACACCATGATAGGAGTGCCCGCGATGGTAGAACACCATTTACTAACACTCAAACCTCCTAGAAAACTCCATTCAAATGCTAAAATTTACAATAGACAGCATAATTGTACATAATTTCATATTAAACGCAAAGAGACCAAATCGGCTTGTGCTTCTCCTTTCGAATTTTTCTTTGGTTGTGATGTTCCTTTCGACAAAGCGTGTTTCTCCTTTCGAGACCGCGTCCGCTTGTGTTGCTGCCCTAATTTGTTTACTGTGATTCTCCGGCCTAATTTCTTTGTTGTGATTCTCTTTACGACAAGCGGACAGATGTGCTTCTCGTAACTAACATTCAATTTGGCTTAAACTACAAATTTGCCACCGTGCCTTCAATCTGACAGAATCTGTTAAGTTTAACATTCTAGGTTTGCTAAAACTACGAAGAATGAGGTTATATTAGGTTTTTAATTTGGCATTGTACAATTAAAAGAGCACAAAGTACAATCTTTTAGAACATATTGTTGTACCGACATTTTTTTAGTTCCCGTTAAGGGTCTAACAATATTGGCACTTAATAAATTTGTAGATTGTAGAAACACTTGTCAATATTACTTATAAGAGAAAGTGTAATATTTTTGAAGAAAAAATATAATATGTTTACATTTGATTTAAAAGTATTACATTTTTCATCAAAAATATTACACGTCCCTTATAATTAACAAACATTTTATTACTTATTACCATTACATTTTTCAGTATATAAGTATTATATTTTCATATTGACCCAACCTGACATGACTCAATTCGTCTCACGGATATAGATCAATGAGACGATCTCACACTAGTGTGACCAATATATTTTTGGACAAATAAGCTTCTTATCACTAATATAAAATCAAACATATTAAATACTTTATACATATAAAAAAAGGTAACAGTTAAACATATTATATAAAATAATAAGCTAATAAGTTGTACTATAAAAATTAAATAATGTAAAATGATACATTATGCTACGAAATGTTGTATGGTAATTAATAGGACATGGTTTCGGGTTCCACGAGAAACCACGGGACCAAAACGTTGCCAGAGTATCAGTGGGGGGTATGTGGGGGCACAGGTACCCGCCACCTACTCGCTGCCCGGGAACACTGTTCCAGCGGGCAGCCGGAGGGCGGTGGTCTGCACGCCGGCCTCCCGCTGTAATAGTGGGTGGCCGCCGGCGGGTGGCTGGCGGGTAGTCCTCCACCCGCCACCTACCCACTGGAAAGTTGATGTGCGTCGTGATGTTTTCCCCCGTTTGTTGTTTCCCCGTGTCCCGTTGTACCCCGTTTGTCGTGTATGAGTCTCGTTTGACGTTTTGAATATCGTTCTAGGAATTTATGTGTAGTACGTGTCATTGTTGTTATGTCTTGATTGTTATTGATTTATTATGTGTTGATTGATTGAATGATGATGAGTATCATGGTCATTGCGCAATGGCCGGTGTGACTAATGATGATGATGATGATGATAATGATGATGATAAGATTGTGATTGGTGGAAATGAATTCTTGGCGGTTGGCACCACTTGTGCCCGGTCATTGTACAAAAGCTACAGGCCTGGCGGTTACTTTGCTAAAGGCATAAACCCACCTTTGACTTGCTTGCTGTTGAGCATTGGTCAGGTTATAAGTGCTGCGGTGCCATGTCGGGGCTATATGCGCTGACCCCTTGGTATTGGTACTAGAGGTACGGATCATGCGAATGGCACTGTGGCGCTATCTTGATATGTTGGTGGTTGAAAGGTGGTTTGTCGGTGGGGGCATGTAGTTTCCCGGAGGAATAAGGGAGGTGATATAAGGGTGGCCTGGAGGTATATGTTGGAAATGATATAAAGACGGATGGGAGCCACAAGGTTGGAACTTGGTATAAGGTTGGAAGATGGATTGTGTGCTTTGATAATTACTTGTTAATTGATTGTCTTTGAATGTCCTTGTTGTCTCTATTTGCTATTTATGAACTTATTTGTCTATTATGCCTTGTATCGTATTCTTAGGATGCATGCTAGTCTTATGATTGTTCTATATTGTCAAGTCTATTATCGTGTCTCGGGTCTTGATCTTGGATTTAAATTAGAGTCTCGTAAGTTATATATGTATTCCAGTTTCAAAATGATTTTCTTATATCTACCTATATTGTACTTAACGCGTTGGAGTGGGTTACCAGCATCATTCGCTAACGGTTGTTACACCGCATGTTTTTCAAGTACAGATTAGTAGCTTGGAGTGCACTAGTTGGATCCCCCGAATCTAGTCTAGATAATCTTAGATTCAGTTAGTCGGCCTGCGTGCCTTGGTTTGTACTCAATCATGGATTTATGGATTTGTATTTGGTTAGTTAGTATAGCTTGTGCATCTAAGTTCTCCAGCTTAGATGTGGCATAGCACCCCGACTATTATGTGGCATAGCACCCCGACTATTATGTTTGCTTCAAGATTTTGTAAAAAGCAAGAATGACGACACCTATGGTACAAACCCATTCCAGCCCTTAGCCCTTTGTTTACCTTAATAGAAGTCCCCTAATCCGTGAAGAATAAAAGAGACATCCTTCCCGCCAAGAAGAACAAGATAAGACGGCTAGAGTCTAAGGACATTTCTTATCATAAGATTTAGTGCACCCATTCTAGGATCATACGTTCAAGGGAAGTGTAGGGAACACTTTGGTATCAAGACCTCAATTACTTTAAGGGTCAAACAAGGAAGTAAAACAACTCGTAAGGACCGCCAAGTCATTTCGCAACAAGAATCAATAACCGACTGCATTCCAAGAAGGAAGGAAGCATGCTAAGAGCTTTTGCTACTAGAAGCATCACCAAAAGGACGCAACAAGTCAAATCTCAGGAAGGACGTGAAGTCGTGCTAAGGATATCACCTACCAAGGAATAAATGAAATTCAATAAAACAAGGAAACCAACCCGAAGTCCCTTAATCCTTAAGAAACCTCAACAAGAATCGGGAGTTGAGACCTAAGGATTGGCTTTGCTAACCGAAGAAGTCAAGACTTCTGGGCATTTTGGGAGAGTATGCACGGAATTCATCACGAGAATTCCTTCAAAAGCGGTAAAGATGGATGAGACTTTATCTTGGGAAGAAAATATCAACGGAAATCTTAGAATTAAGAGAAGCCAAAACTAAAGAAAAAGATCGGCAGTTCATCTTTACGTCATAATCGAGTTTCAAACAGGTGTAATCGCTCGAAGTCGAGAATCCTTAACCCTATTCTAGCCAAACTCCGTTCTTTTCCTTGTCTATCGAATACCATTACGTTGAGAAATCCATTCTACCATTCCAAACCTCATTCTCTATTCCTTATTTCAAATGATACCATACAAGGTGGCAACCTTATTTCCTAAGTTGCAACTTTGAAAACTTTGATCTTATTTCCTAAATTAACTTTGTCCTCAAGTTTGAAACCCGAATCGTCCACTCTCTTTATCCTTTTAACCCAATCGTTCCCAAAAACCCAGTATACATAGATATATAATTATATATTTTCCCCGTAGAATACTTTCTCTATTTGACCAAAGTACTAGTTTTGACTCGTTATACCCGTAATGATTTCTAAGCTTCGGGGACAAAGCTTCTTTTGAGAGGGGAGGGTGTAACACCCCATGTTACGGCCTTTAATTCTGGATTAATTATTAAATTAATTTCGCTAATAATAATTAAAAAGGATTTAATTTGGTTAGGATTCCCTTTAATTAATTAATGTGGTCCACCATGGATCGTGGACCCTTGCCTAAACTAGAGTCTTAAGCCTATTAAGAATAAAGAGAGTAAACCTTTTACTAGTCAGATTCTAATTAGGAATCCAAGACCTATATATCTGTTAGGAATAAAGAAAGTAGACATTTACTATTCATATTCTGATTATGATTCCTGATTCAATAAATAGGGGATTAGAAAGCAATTAGAACCCTTACCACCCATAGCTATATTACACGCAAATATTCCCAAGAGATTCCCCACCATCAAGCCTAGGGAGATCATTCAGAGGGAAACCTTAGAGAAGAACCTTAATAGACAAGGGAGGATTAATTAAGGCTAAGAGATAACCCATGTCTTACAAAACCTATTTTCCTTGCTATATCTTATTTATTGGCTCCTTTGATAATTGTATGTGTAATTCTGTGATTGAGTCTTGATAGAGCCCTTGGATAGGATTTATATTGTGCTTATTTGATAATCTTGATGTTCTTGATATTGTGATTAACTATACGTATGATCTCGTATTTTAATTATGTCTAGAGCCCTAGGGTTTATATCGTGAATTTCGTATTATGATATTCTTGGTATATTTGGGTGGGATTAAATCCGTTAATTGAATACGTGGTGTGGTCGTTATGTGTTTGAATGTGTCTGGACATAGTTTCGGGTTCCCGCCATCTACCCGCTGCCCGGGAACAATGTTCCGGTAGGCAGCCGGCGGCGGTGATCTGCCCGCCGGCCACCCGCTGGAATAGTGGGAGGCCGTCGGCAGGTGGCTGGCGGATGGTCCTCTACTGGCCACCTACCAGCTGGAAAGTTGATGTGCATCGTGATGTTTTCCCCCGGTTGTTGTTTCCACGTGTCCCGTTGTACCCCGTTTGTCGTGTATGAGTCTCGCTTGTCGTGTACGTGTCGTTGTTGTTATGTCTTGATTGTTATTGATTGATTATGTGTTGATTGATTGAATGATGATGAGTATCGTGGTCATTGCGCAATGGCCAGTGTGACTTATGATGATGATGATGATGATGATGATGATGAGATTGTGATTGATGGAAATGAATTGTTAGCGGTTGGCACCACTTGTGCCCGGTCATTGTACTAAAGCTACAGGCCTAGCGGTTACTGTGCTAAAGGCACAAACCCACATTTGACTTGTTTGCCGTTGAGCATGGGTCAGGTTATAAGTGTTGTGGTGCCATGTCAGGGCTATATGTGTTGACCCCTTGGTATTGGTACTAGGGGTACGGATCATGCGAATAGCACTACGACGCTATCTTGATATGTTGGTGGTTGAAAGGTGTTTGTCGGTGGGGGCATGTAGTTGGCCGGAGGAATAAGGGAGGCGATATAAGGGTGGCCTGGAGGTATAGGTTGGAACTGATATAAGGACGGAGGGGAGCCACAAGTTTGGAACTTGGTATAAGGTTGGAAGATGGATTGTGTGCTTTGATAATTACTTGTTAATTGATTGTCTTTGAATGTCCTTGTTGTCTCTATTTGCTATTTATGAACTTATTTTTCTATTATGCCTTGTATCGTATTCTTAGGATGCATGCTAGTCTTTATGATTGTTCAATATTGTCAAGTCTATTATTGTGTCCTGGGTCTTGATCTTGAATTTAAATTAGAGTCTCGTAAGTTATATATGTATTCCAGTTTCAAAATGATTTTCTTATATCTACCTATATTGTACTTATCGCGTTGGAGTGGGTTACCAGCATTATTCGCTGATGGTTGTTACACCGCATGTTTTTCAGGTACAAATTAGTAGCTTGGAGTATGCTAGTTGGATCCCCGGAATCTAGTCTAGATAATCTTAGATTCAGTTAGTCGGCCTGCGTGCCTTGGTTTGTACTCAATCATGGATTTATGGATTTGTGTTTGGTTAGTTAGTATAGTCTGTGCATCTAAGTTCTCCAGCTTAGATGTGGCATAGCACCCCGACTATTATGTTTCGTTTATGCTCTGTTTGGGATTTAATATTAGATTCGCCTTTATTTTATAAGTTTTAAATATTTTTAAAATGTAGGGGTGTTACAAATATAGTCCATTTTCCCTTTTCTCTTCTTCTCTTTCTCTCCCTAAAACCCTAAATTCTTTCCCAAACTCTGTCAATCTTCTATCCTTTGTGGAGAGGCACTACAATTGGTATCAGAGCCCATGGAGGATCGCATCCGCAGGCTTGAAGCAACAGTAGTGGAGCTGAATAGCAAGATAGATAACAAGTCCCAGGCTACCCAAGACTCAGTCACTGAGCTCACAACTCCAGTGGGAAATCTGGCCACCCAGTTTGGAGGACTGAGTGCAATCTGAGGGAGGAGTTGATCCAGCTTCTTGATAAGTGTCAAAGACAAACACTTTTAAGGTCCTTTTAGAGTGAATTCTAAGATTAAAGTAATCCTTTGTGTAGAAATTATGTGCCAAATAGCTATGTTTTACATTATTTTGGAAATTATCACCGCACTTTATATTTTACAAGTTTTCAGGTAAGTTTCGGGCTTAAACGAGCTGAGGCGAAGTGGCACAACCAGGAGCAAAGCGGAATAAGGAGACAAGCCGGGACCAAGCAACGCAGCCATAACGTGCGTTGTAGTGCACGTTGTGGAGAAGTGGAACATGGCTGAATTTCTAGTAAGTTCAACGCACCGGACAACGTGCGTTGCGATGGACGTTGGGATGAATAAGTTCCCGAGCAACGCACGTTGTCCGGACGTTGGAGGTCACGTTGGACTAGCTGCGAAGGGAATTGAAAGGAGGGGCTATTTAAAGTGTTTTAGATCAGATTTTTTAGAGGAGACACATTTTTAGAGAGAGAAATAGATAGCTTAGCAATTAGATTTGGAGAGAAAACACTTTGTAGAAGGGATTGCTTGAACGAAGAGCTTGACAAACTCTAATTCAAGGACCTTGCAAGACTTGCTTTCATTTTGTTAATATACTTTTAGTACAATTTCTATTCCTTTTCCATTTCTATTTTGTTTTTGCCATGCTTAGATCTATGAATGCTTTTGTGTTTGATTTGAATATGGTAGGCTAGACTAGCTAGGGTTTGGATTGTGTAAGTGTGTGTTGATGATACTTTCGTGACTTATTTCTTGAATAGGGATTGATTGATGCCATTGCTTCTATGTCTTGTTGTTGAGGATTGACTTGCTTGAATCCTAGGAACTTGATCACCTCCTATGTTGTTTGAGGGATTGATCTATGTTAGATCAATCCAAGCTCCTATCCTTAGCATTTCTTAGCTCAAGGAACCCTACGGCGCTTGGCTATGAAAGAGTTGAAGGCAAGGTGTTTGAGAAAAGGTTTAGGTGAATCCTAAACAAAGCCCTAGTAGTCTATGTTACGAAAGGGCATAAGCCACTCCCTTGACTTAGCAATGGAATCCTATTTCCCTATGTCAAATGATCTCTTAAGCATCTTCATCCACACCAAAGCAATCCAACCCCTACTTGTTTGCTATTGTTGTTTACTTGCTAGTTTTAATTTCGTGCATCAACTACGACGTTCATCATCTTGTGTTCGCGTAACATGCTACTTTCCGACCTTAGCAACTTAGGGCTAATTCCGAGCGGCCATCCTTAAGAACGATAAATATGAGGTTTATCCTCCCACTATTTGGCTATCTCACACGTGATAAACGTGAGATTAAAAGAGCTCTTAGGCGAGACGAAGAGAAGCATTATCACTTCTCAGGCTCAACCGGCCAACTATTCCCATCCTAAACAACTCTCCGGGCCAGTCATATGTTTAAGGCCAAATCCCTGAGAGCACACATATGGGGGGCAGGCCAGATAAGGCACCAGTACAGGATGTGGATGATGATGAACCAGATCATGGGATTGAGTCACCCTTAGCAGTAGGACCAATGGACAGAGCTAACTTAGCTTGGTCACCAAGGAGAAGAGCATGAGCTGAATGCAGGCCTGGGCCAGTTGGGCAGCAACAAGAATTCCTTGTGAGGTATAAGAATGAATTCCCTACCTTTGATTATACTCACCCTAGGCAATGGATCATTAGCTGTGAGAAGTTCTTCATTCTCTCCCATATCTCCATAAATGAAATCCCTAACCTTCTGTATGTCCATTTGGCTGGGAAGGTGGGCTTGTAGTTTGATAGTTATGTTCATAGTTTGAGGGAGGAATTTCACTGGCCTATGTTTGCTGAGGCAGTGTGTAGGAGGTTTGGGGACAGTGGGGTCTCTATTATGGAAGACTTTGTTGCCTTCAAACAATGGGGAAGTGTGGATGAATTTATTGATGAGTTTGAAGGGTTTAAGAGCCTACTGCTGCAAACGTGGCCCTTACCTTACTGAAACTTATTTCATGGAGAACTATATTGCTAGGCTTAAGCAAAACCTAATGTGCTTTGTGAGAACTGCAAAACCTAGGGAGTTAGCTGATGCCATATGGTTTGCAAGACAATATGAAAAAGGTCTAAAGCCCAATGACAACCCCAGGACCCCTTCAAGGAACCCCAGAAATACACAGCCAATAAAAAACACATAGCTCCAGTTCAAATAGCCCTCTACCAACCAATCCTAACCCCAAACCCACACCATCTACCCAAACTACTACTTCCAAAAGTCCTGAAATCACCTAGTTCAGAAATTAGCTAAGGGAACAAAGGAGGTGTTTTAGGTGCTTTGACCCTTAGCAGCCTGGGCACAAATGTAAGGGACCTACATTCAATATCATTGAGGATCAGGAAGAGTTGGAGGTCCCTACCTTGATAGAACCCCCTGAGGAAGAACAGATAGATGATGCAGGAGTCTCCTTGTGTGCTATAGTAGGAGGGGAGTGGCTAAACACCATTAAGTTGTTGGGAATGATTCAAAAACAGCTAGTAGTCATTTTGGTGGATAGTGGAAGCACACATAGCTTCTTAGATCCTAAGTTGCTAAGCCAATTAAAGAGGGAACCTCAGAAGTCTAGAACCTTGAGAGTGACTGTAGCCAATGGAGAACATGTAATCAGTGATTCTGTTTGTCCAAACTTGCAGTATCATATTCAAAAGGAAAGTTTTGTTAAAGAGTTCAGACTCTTAAGACTAGGAGGGTGTGACATGGTGCTAGGAATGGACTGGGTAGACCAGTTTGCTCCCATTCAATTGCACACTAGGCCCCCTGGTATTTCCTTTCACAAAGATGGCAAAAGGGTATTTCTCAAGGGGTTGACAAAGAAAGTATTGTTGCAAGCAGCCACTAAGAAGGAAGTTAAAATATGGCACAAGGAGGGGGTGCATGGTCTTCTAGTCCAGAGTTTAACCTCACTACCTGAAGAATCTGTTGAGGATTCTTACCTAGTTACCTATACCATACCACTGCCCACAACATGACCCTTGATCTTACACACCTGCTAGATGAGTTCCAAAACCTATTTCAAAAACCCACCTCCCTTCCACCAGAAATAAACCTTGACCATACTATTTCTCTAATTCCTTGAGCTCAACCTGTGAACATAAGGCCCTATAGATACTCATTTGACCAGAAGAATGTCAATGAGAAAATGGTTGAAGAAATGTTGACTGTTGGAGTCATCACCCCTAGTTTCTCTTGTTTTGCATCCCCATTCCTTATAGTGCCCAAGAAGGACAACACTTGGAGGTTCTGTGTGGATTACAAGGCCTTTAACAGCATCACCATCAAAAACAAATTTTACATTCCTTTGATGGAGGACTTGTTCTCTGAACTGGCTGGAGCAGTATATTTTTCCAAGTTGGATTTAAGATTAGGGTACCACCCGGTAAGAATAAAGGCAGGAGATGAGTTCAAAACAGCTTTAGGACCCATCAAGGGTTGTATGAGTTTAGAGTCATGCTCTTTGGTCTCACTAATGCTCCTGCAACATTTCAGGCATTAATGAACCAAGTCCTTAAGCCACTACTAAGAAAATCAGTGCTAGTGTTCTTTGATGATATCTTGGTGTACAACCCTTATTTTAAAGACCATTGGGAACATATAAGGGAAGTTTTGACGATCATGAGGCAGAATCGCCTATTAGAAAAGCTCAGCAAGTGCTCCTTTGCTCAGACTTAGGTGGAGTACTTAGGGCACATAATATCCCAAGCAGGATTGCAGACTGACCTTGCTAAATTAGAAGTTGTGGCTACTTGACACAAGACAATGACCCTTAAAGCCTTGAGAGGGTTCCTTGGCCTAGCAGGGTACTATAGAAAATTCATTAGAGCCTATGGGGTTATCAGTAAACCCTTAACAGATATGTTGAAGAATGATGCCTTTAAATGGATTCCTGATGCTGAAAAAGCTTTTGAGAACATGAAGTATGCCTTATGTCACTCCCATATTTTAACCTTACCTGATTTCCAGAAAGAGTTCACTATTGAAGTTGATGCTTGCTATACAGGTATGGGAGCTGTGTTGGTCTAGGAGGGGAAGCCAGTAGCTTTTTTCAGCAAAGCTTTTGGATATAAGCATCTGGGGTTGTCAATCTATGAGAAAGAGTACCTCTCCATCATCAATGCTGTGGAGAAATGTAGGACTTATCTCTTGGGAAGGCACTTTACCATAAGACAGACCATCAAAGTTTACAATTCTTGTTAGAACAAAAAGTAACCACTTCCTTGCAACAGAAAGGATTAACTAAGCTCTTGGGCTTAGATTACTCTATACAGTACAAAAAAGGAGCTAAAAATACTGTGGCTGATGCCCTTTCTAGGAGGGAAGAGAACATAGAGGGATCAGTTAATTCCATCTCAGTAGTGCAGCCTCAATGGATGGAAGATATCATCAAAAGTTATGAGCAGGACAGTTGGGCAGTTGATAAGCTCACTACTGCTTTGGTCAACCCCAACATTGATCCCAATCTTACAGTGACAAGGGAACTTGTGAGGTATAAAAATAGGTTATACATTGGAGCCAAAGGTAACCTAAGGAGGGAATTGATTGCCAAGTTGCATGAGTCTTCCATTGGTGGTCATTCAGGTCAGACTGGAACCTACCAAAGGCTGAAGTCACTGTTTTATTGGAAAGGAATGAAAAGGGATGTCAGGGAGTTTGTGAGAAGTTGTGACGCTTGTCAAAGGTGCAAAAGTGAGAATGTGGCATATCCTAGTTTCCTACAACCCTTGAATATCCCTAAGGAGGCCTAGCAAAGCATATCTCTGGATTTTGTGGAAGGCTTGCCAAAATCTCATCATAAAGCTGTCATCATGGTGGTGGTGGACAGATTGACTAAATATGCTCATTTCCTTGCATTAGCTCATCCCTATACTGCAGAGAGTGTTGCTGAACTATTTATGGAGAATGTTTATAAACTCCATGGCCTACCTATGAGCATTATCTCTGACAGAGATAAAACAATTTACTAGCAAATCCTGGCAAGCCCTATTTAAGAACATGCAGGTTAAGTTGAATCTATCCTCAGCTTACCACCCCCAAACAGATGGCCAGACAGAAAAGGTGAACCAATGCCTAGAGGGGTATCTGTGGTGCATGGTGTTTCAAAGGCCAAAAAGCTGGGCAAAGTGGTTGCACTTGGCTGAATGGTGGTACAACATCAACTATCACACTGCTCTCAAGTGTACACCATTCCAGGCCTTGTATGGTTACATTCCTCCCATTATGGCTGTCACTATAAGTCCAAGAGAGGGGAATATGTCTTGGTTTACCACCAGGGAAGCTGTTCTATCAGCTCTTAAGGAAAACTTAAAATAAGCTCAGAATAGGATGAAGGTGCAAGAGGACAAAGGAAGGAGTGAAAGGGTGCTGGAAGTATGAGACTGGGTTTATCTCAAATTCCAGCCATACAGACAGCTCACACTGGCTGTTAGGGAAAATTTGAAACTCTCCCCAAAGTATTATGGACCCTATAAGGTGTTAGAAAAAAATTGGAGTTGTGGCCTACAGACTTCAATTACCAGCAGGTGCTTAGCTGCATCCTGTATCCATGTGTCCCAACTCAAAAGGAAAATTGGGGATGGCAAGGTAGCCCAATTGGACCCTCCCACAGTAGGTCAGGATGGGGAGGTATTGGCTGAACCTATAGCTGCATTGGGTAAAAGACTAGTGAAAAAGAATAACCAAGCAGTGGTGGAAATCTTGGTGCAATGGGCTAATTTACCAAAAGAAAGTGCTAATTGGGAGAACTAGTACCCCATTAAAAACCAATTTCCTTCATTTGATCATTGGGGGCAAGGATCAGTTGATGGATGGGGAGTTGCAACGATTCTGGAAGGAGAAATCAGTGGCATGGCAAAAGGAAGGACGGATGGAAAGAAGATGGAGATAAGTGGCCGACAGTTGTTGAGCTCAACAAGAAGGGAATCAAACGACGTCGCATGAAGGGGAGTTGAATTTAAGGTCGTTGAATAATTAACTAAGACAGCATCGTTTTGGTTCAGCAGTAGTGACCGTTGAATAAAATAACTCGGACGACACTATTTCGCTCAACGTTTGGAATCGGTTTGTCAGGACTTACGACGACGACGTTTCGAGCGTTCAAGCCATCCCTTCCAGAAGGCCTTCGGTTGTGATCCGGGAATATAGGAGGCTATTGTTTCTTGTTTGTTTGTATTTTTCTGCATTTAAATTAGCGTTGTGGAGACCAAGACTATGTGGTCTAATGGTACTCGGGTTGGACTTCCATTTGGACGGTTGTGAGTTCGAGCCTCTAGGTTGAGAAAGTATATGAACAGATAAGGTGTTATTGGTTCTTTGTGTTTCAGTAGGTTGAGAAAGTATATGAACAGATAAGGTGTTATAGAGTCACAGTAGCATTCACCCCGCATTATTTTTAGTATATTTTCTGATTTATCAAAATATTATCGAAATTAAGAATATTTCTTGTCAAATAGTGAGCGTTGTTTATAAGTAGATGGAGGTTGGCAGCAAGGAAGTACGCAGTAAGAAGATGATTGATTGGTATTTGAAAGATACCGATCGAATGCATGCATGTATGATCGGCTGTTAGATTGTCCATTCCAAATAATACATAGTTACGTTGTGGGGTTGAATTGGCATGTTAGATGTATGACTTAATATTATCCATAGAATATGCCCATCTTTAAATTGCACATTTATATCTTACCTGTACGCCTACCAGTCGTAGAATTACAACTTGTGTCGTGGGGACTCCATTCATGATATATAGAAATAATACATAGTTACGTTGTGGGGTTGAATTGGCATGTTAGATGTATGACTTAATATTATCCATAGAATATGCCCATCTTTAAATTGCACATTTATATCTTACCTGTACGCCTACCAGTCGTAGAATTACAACTTGTGTCGTGGGGACTCCATTCATGATATATATAGGAATGGAATATGTGGTATTGATTAATAGTTCCAAATTAAAGCTGTAAATACGTTAGGTGTTGCTATATTCGATCTCTTTGAAAAATCATTTGTTATGCATCATTATTATATTTAAATTCGCGTTTGAGTATTTTTCAAAATATTTTATTTGAAATTTTTTTTTAATATTAATGATTCCTTATAAAATAGTATATATTATATACTTTCTCAAACCTTTTAATTGAGACTTTGTTAATTTAAATAAGACCTAATTTTTTTTTTTTTTGCTGGTAATGAAAATAAAGAAATTTTATTTTATGTTTATAAATAACATCGCATTAGTTGTTAAAATTTTAGATAAATGATATAGAAAGTGATTATTTTGCAATTGTTATACCCTGCACCACGGCGCACATAACACTGTGCGCCCCGCGCCTCCCAAAACGACGTCGTTTTGGGAGGTGCGGTAGAGAGTTGACATGATTATGTGTATTTGTTTATACAATTATGTGTATTTTTTTATACAGTTATGTGTGTTTGTTTATACAATTATGTGTTTTTATTTATACGATTATATGTATTTTTTTATACAGTTATGTGAAACGACGTCGTTTTGCATCAGGGCGCACAATGCAATGCGCGCCCTGGTGCACGATATAAATTGCCATTATTTTGTGGTATAAATATATATGGGTTTCACTTCTGATTTGGGGTCGGTCAAGTGAGCCTGAAAAGGCTTGACTCGTGTACGTCGGCACCTACAAATATAAATGTCGTCCTGAAAATTGTCGGGGCTTGTGGGCAAGTTATGCCAAATTTTCTTATATATTTAATTTTCACTATTCGAGAAGTAAAACTTTGTTTACCATTCGGTTGTGTAGTTACTAGTTACCATTCGGATTATTAACTACTGAATGGTTGATCACTTGTAATCTTTTGAGATTAATTTTTTATAAATTAAATCTTTTATTATTTTGGTTTTGTACCAAAATTTTGGTTAGAATTAATTTTATAAATTAAATTTTATTTTGTGTATCGAATTATTCACCACTAATATCACTAAGTGATTTTAGTTAATAATAATAATAATAATAATAATAATAATAATAATAATAATAATAATAATAATAATGTGTTTTATTTGTTGTTGTCACCCATAAATGCCACGACTCAATATATATAGCAATCTACGACTCTACGAGCAAATAAGCAATACATATATGATTGACCAATTAATTGCAACAATGAATACATGTGCACACACGTGCGCTTGCATGCTCTCATCCGCACATGCAACAAAATTGATTTTATATCTAAATCTTAAATCTTAAAAAACGGTGAATCCAAGTTATACTCCGTACATTGATTTAGATTGAAATTTTATGTTTATTAATTTATATTATAATACATTACGCTACAAATATATATTATACTATTATTTTGAGTTTCAATAGGTTGACAAAGTAGTTATGAACAAATACCGCATTGTAACAGAGTCAATGTTAAGGATATCTGTGGCTGACATATTTTTGTATATAATTAAATTTAGTTGCATGCATTCCTTTTATGTAGCATTGTTAGACTGGTTGTTACAGCAACCTGCTAACTACTCACTATCTTCTCTCCCTTGTATGCTATTTAAAACTGATTGTTTTATATCAATAATATCAGTTAAGTTCATAATCTATTATGGTATCAAGAGCCTAATTTCTCCTACGAAGTTTTTTTTCCTTCCCCTTCCAAATGGCTTCCGCTATTACAACCACAATAATCCAATTAAATGATCCAACACACTTCCCAATTAAACTCACGACCGTGAATTTCCCGGTGTGGCGGCGTCAAATTCATGCCACACTTGTTGGGTTTAATCTCTTTGGCTATGTTGATGGTACAACCAAGGAACCAGCCAAATTCACTGATCGTGCTCAAACTTCTGTCAACCCGGCTCATTTAGCTTGGTATCGTCAAGACCAAGTTCTTGCCAGTGCTCTACTTGGGAGCTGTACTGACACCATACAGCCCCTTATTTCCTCGGCTACGACAACCCATGATGCGTGGCAACGTCTTGTTGCTAGTTACGCCAGTGCCTCACGAGGACGTATATATCCCTCAAGGCCAAACTCACGAGGAATCCGCGAGGGTCTCGGTCCATCACCACTTATCTCAAAGACAAGCGAGCCATAGCTGATGATTTAGCGTTAGCTCAGTGTCCCGTATCTGACGAAGATCTAATCGTCTATGTGTTGACTCAGCTAGGCGAGGATTACAGTTCCATCACGTCGGTCATCCGCGTTCGTGAGAAGCCTCTTTCTTTTGGCGAGTTGGCAGATGTGCTGACTAACCATGAATGCCAATTGACAGACGCAGATGTTTTGCGTCAGTCCCTTTTTAGTACTGCTAATGTTACTCAACGCACCTGGTCACCCCCGCGGCGCAACCACCAATCCAACACCAACCGGAGGGCCCGCAACAATAACAATCATTATGGCTCCAATCGGCAACAAGAGGAACACAATCGCTCAGGTATCGTCTGTAAGTTTTGTTATCTTACGGGTCATGAAACAAGGGTGTGTCGCAAGCTAGCCCGATTTTTAAAGGAGCATGATGTTCCTCCTGTGCAATCCTATGTATCTCCTACCGCCAATTCAATGACTAGGGCTTCTCCTCCCTGGATGTTTGATAGTGGGGCGTCGCACCATGTGACACCAAGCATCGCTCCTCTGCAGACTTTCGCCGAGTATAGTGGATCGGATGAAATACGCCTGGGTGACGGTAATTCCTTACAAATATCCCATATTGGCCAATCTGTCATTCCCACTCCTTCTAATGTTCTCACTCTAGATAATGTCTTGCGTGTCCCACAGTTACACACTAATTTAGTTTTTGTTTCCCAGTTATGCAAGACTAATCGTGTGTCTATTGAATTCTTTGATTCTCATTTTCTGGTCAAGGAACTTCGAACGGGGATTCCGCTGCTACTGGGGGTGAACATTAATGGTGTCTATTTTGGACTAGTTGCCTCTCACCCAACAGTTCATGATACCAGTTGGCTTGTTTGTCTCAGTGGCACCAACAACTTGGTCACCCGTCGAATAAGGTGTTGCAACTTGTGTTGCAACGCTGTAATTTTCCAGTCTCCATGTCATCTCTGCGAAAATTTTACTGTTCATCCTGCAATGTTCATAAAAGTCATAAACTGCCTTTCTCTAAAAATACACTTGTTAGCACTAAACATTTGCAACTTGTTTATACTGATGTGTGGGGACCTACTGAGGACTCTATTGATGTATTTCTCTATTATGTCATTTTTGTATACCACTTCTCAAAATACATTTGGCTGTACCCCATGAAATGTAAATCGGATGTGTTTACAATATTCATTCAGTTCAAACAGCTAGTGGAAAAATATTTTAGCCTGTCAATTATTTCTGTTTACTCAGATAATGGGGGCGAGTTCGTGAGACTTGGGCCGTTTTTTAATACTCATGGTATCTATCATTTCACCACCCCGCCACACACTCCTGAGCAGAATGGTGTCGCAGAGCGACGACACAGGCATGTCGTGGAAACTGGCATGTCTCTTCTTCACTCCGCGTCTTTGCCATCCTCATACTGGACCTACGCCTTTCGGACAGCCGTATATCTTATTAATCGGCTCCCTACTCCAATTTTAGGTAATCAATCCCCATTTTATGTCTTGTTCCAACAATTGCCTAATTATGCCAAGTTACAACCCTTTGGTTGCTTGTGTTTTCCCTGGTTGCGTCCCTATAAAACCAAGAAACTACAACCAAAGTTACGTCCATGTATTTTCCTTGGCTACTCGAACACCCAATCCGGTTATAAATGTCTAGATTTTGGTTCGAATCGTATTTATGTATCTAGGCATGTTAGATTTGTGCCTCGTGTGTTTCCTTATAACGATTTGCAGAAGTCATCTAACAGCTTACCTTTTGCTTCTAATGATTCAGAATCACGTCATATTTTGTGTAAGTCGTCTCCTTTGTCTACACAGGTAGAACCCGTAGGTGTTCCAACACCAGTTCCAACACCTGCTCCAACTCCAGTTCAAAGTCCAGTTCCAACTCCAGTTCAAAGTCTCATTCCAACTCCAGTTCCAACTCCGATTCCAAGTCCAGTTCCAACTCCGGTTCCGACACCAGTTCCAACACCATCACCGTCGGATGCGTCCAATTCATCGTCTCCCACTGTCTCAGGAAATGGCCGACATGCATCCCAATCCGTGTCTGACTCACAACCTGCCTCCACCTCCGAAACGTCTCAACCGTTGAATAATGTTCGTCGTTCCACTCGAGAGCGTCGTCCTAATCCTAGGTATTCCGATTATGTCATTAACCACACCACTTCCCATCCCTTGCCTCCTGCTTTAGAACCTTCTACCGTCGCCCAGGCTCTTAAAGATGCTCGGTGGAGGAAAGAAATGGATGAGGAGTTTGAAGCGCTGCAACGTAACAACACGTGGCAACTGGTTCCCCGCGGAGCGGCAGTTCCGATTGGTTGCAAATGGGTCTTCCGTGTTAAGCGCAAATCGGATGGGTTAGTTGATCGTTTTAAAGCGTGGTTTGTCGCTAAGGGATTCTTGCAGACTGCTGGCCGGGATTATTTTGAGACATATAGCCCGGTTATGAAACCGGTCACGATCCGTATCGTTCTGACCATTGCTTTGAGTAATAGCTGGGGTCTGCGCCAGCTAGATATCAATAATGCGTTCCTTATTGGAACATTGCATGAGGAGGTTTTTATGGAGCAGCCTCCCGGGTTTGTTGATCCATCCTTTCCAGCTCATGTATGCCAACTGACCAAAGTCTTATATGGTCTTAAACAAGCTCTCAGGGCTTGGTACTTGGAACTTTCCCAGTTCTTGTTGTATTGTGGGTTTTTGAAGTCACAGGCAGATGCATGTTTGTTTGTTTATTCTGCTAATGATATTATTTTTTATTTCCTGGTGTATGTCGATGATATTATACTAACAGAAAACAATGTTGCATGGCTTGATCAATTTGTTGAAACTCTGGCAGCTCGCTTTGCCCTTAAGGACCTTGGTCCCTTGCATTACTTTCTAGGTGTTGAGGTTGTTTTAACACCCACTGGCATGTATATATATATATATATATATATATATATATATATATATATATATATATATATATATATATATATATATATATATATATATATATATATATATATATAGGGTAGGGTTCCAGTGAGAACATATACTTAGGTGAGAATGTGAGAACACATCATGTGCATCCATCTAATATTTTTCAATGATCTCGATTAGATCAAGTGTGTGCAAACGTTCATTAAATGTGTGCAAACACACTAACTCGCGTTTGCACACATTTAATGCGCATTCGCACACACTTAATCTAATCTAGACCATTAAAAAATATTAGATGGATGCACATGATGTGTTCTCACGTTCTCACCTAGCACATGTTCTCATATGATCTTAAATCTATATATATATATATATATATATATATATATATATATATATATATATATATATATATATATATATATATATATATACTAGTTTTTTACGCGCATTGCGCGATTGGGATAATGCCCAATGTTTTTTTTAAATAAGTATTTTAAAGTATATTAAGGCAAGATTATATTGAAATTGTTCATGCATAGATAATTGAAGGTTGAATTTGAGTATTTAAATAGGTAATTCTTCTCCCAAAGGTTGAGTCCCCTACCCCAAGGGCCCCCACACTCTGACCCGACAGAGCATTGTAGGAAGTTGTAAATCACGGTGACTCAATGGTTCAGCAGACAGGACCAAATGCCGGTGCGAACAAGGAATCTGCCCACTTTGGACATAATTCCCGCACTGCCGCCGCCGAGGTTCAAACCTTGGTCTCTTCTCCCAAATACTGCCCACTAAACCATTGAGCTAAGCCCGTGCGGGTTAAATAGATAATTCTAAGTTTACAAATGCAAGATAATATAGTCAAGATTGATTATAATTGTCAATAAAATAATTGTATAGGTATGGTTGAAACCAAATACGGGACATAAGGGAGAACAAATAAAAATTAGGGCATAAAATATTAAATATATACTAATATTGTTTGAGGAGATTTCGACATTAGGATTTGTGGTTAAGTTCTATGAAGACTTTAATATTAGAATTAGATTAATGGTGTAATTATAATTCTATATTAGACGTTAATATTATTCTTCCAAAAGGCTGAACCCCAACCCTAAGGGCCCCCCACACCCCGGCCCGACAGAGCATTTGGGATGAAGACGTTAATATTATAATTAGACTAACGGTGAATTAACGCTATTTAATGGAAAAGTTAAATGGATAATCATATAATTAAGGATAAATTAGAAAAAAATTTTAAAAAAAATAAAACCTGAACAATTTGAACCATTCATTTGATTTAATAATTTGGCGGTCATTTTTCTACCCAATGTTAATAATTAAATAAATTCGTTGGTCAAATCCGCTAATATAATTCGCGCGCTAACTGTTGATTGTCAAACAAGGACATTGCAAGGTAGTTCTCACTTCAATTTGTTGTGTGATTTAAATACTCTCTTTGTCACAAAATCTCTCAAGTAGTTAATATGGTTGGCTTTATTAATTATATATTTTTTTAATTTTTTCATGGTATTAATAAAATACTTGGTAAATAAATATATAGCATTATTTTGTATTATAACTTTGATATTTAATTAGAAAAATAGTGCACAAAAAAGATAATAGACAATGTAGTGAATATAATCAATTGATGAATTTGAATGTAAAAATTTTTACATTTGAGAAAAATAAAGACAATATAACTAATAAAAATATTTCTCTTAATTAATTTATTGATAATGAATAATTTTTTTTCACTTTATTAAGACATTGTAAGGACAATGTAGCGAATATAATCAATTAATAAATTTGAATATAAAGAATTTTTATATTGTAGAAAAATAAAGACAATATAACTAATACAATTACTTCTCTTATTTAATTTATTGATAATGAATAATTTTCTTTTTTGAATAAAGGCATTGTGAACACATAATTCTAAATTAAAGAAATGCATATCTATAATTTTTTGTTGTAGCTACTAAATTATTATTTATATAATTTAATAAGAGTAAAATAGAGTACTAATTATGCCAACTTTGATTGGGATGAGGTTCGAACCTAAGACCTTTTTTTTTTTATTGAAATCAATAAGTTAACGGTGAACTAACGGCAATTCTTAAAATTGTACTAATTATGCCAACTTTGATTGGGATGAGGTTCGAACCTAAGACCTTTTTTTTTTATTGAAATCAATGAGTAAGTCAACGGTGAACTAACGGCAATTTTTAAAATTTTAACGGAATTAGTAACGGTGTGTGGGTATTTTAGGAAATTTTAGTGTAAAATTTAAATCTTATCAATCTTTTAATCAATCTGAGCCATTCATTTGATTAAAATCTGTGACCGCCATTTTTTCTACCCATTATAGGCCTAACTCTCTTGGGCTCTTATCAGTATAGTATATATATATATATATATATATATATATATATATATATATATATATATATATATATATATATATATATATATATATATATATATATATATATATATATATATATGTATGTATGTATGTATGTATGTATGTATGTATGTATATATATATATATATATATATATATATATATATATATATATATATATATATATATATATGTATGTATGTATGTATGTATATATGCATACTAGTTTTTTACGCGCATTGCGCGATTGGGATAATGCCCAATGTTTGTTTTTTTTTTTTTTTAAATAAGTACTTTAAAGTATATTAAGGCAAGATTATATTGAAATTGTTCATGCATAGATAATTGAAGGTTGAATTTGCGTATTTAAATAGGTAATTCTTTTCCCAAAGGTTGAGTCCCCAACCCCAAGGGTCCCCACACTCCGACCCGACAGGGCATTGTGGGAAGTTGTAAATCACGGTGACTTAATGATTTAGCAGACAGGACCAAATGCCGGTGCGCACAAGCAATCTGTCCACTTTGGACATAATTCTCGCACTGTCGCCGCCGAGGTTCAAACCTTGGTCTCTTCTCCCAAATAGTGCCCACTAAATTAACCATTGAGCTAAGCCCGTGCAGGTTAAATAGATAATTCTAAGTTTATAAATGCAAGATAATATAGTCACGATTGATTATAATTGTCAATAAAATAATTGTATAGGTATGGTTGAAACCAAATACGGGACATAAGGGAGAACAAATAAAAATTAGGGCATAAAATATTAAATATATACTAATATTGTTTGAGGAGATTTCGACATTAGGATTTGTGGTTAAGTTTTATTAAGACTTTAATATTACAATTAGATTGATGGTGTAGTTATAATTCTATATTAGACTTTATTATTAGAATTAGACTAACGGTGAATTAACGGTATTCAACAGAAAAGTTAAATGGATAATCATATAATTAAGGATAAATTAGAAAAACTTTTAAAAAAAAATTAAAACCTGAACAATCTGAACCATTCATTTGATTTAATAATTTGGCGGTCATTTTTTCTACCCAATGTTAATAATTAAATAAATTCGTTAGTCAAATCCGCTAACGCTAACCGCTAAGTGCTGATTGTTAAACAAGGACATTGTAAGGTAGTTCTCACTTCAATTTGTTGTGTGATTTGAATACGGTTCGCTACAATGTCTTCATTAGTTAATATGGTTGGCTTTATTAATTATATATTTTTTAATTTTTTCATGGTATTAATAAAATACTTGGTAAATAAATATATAGCATTATTTTGTATTATAACTTTGATATTTAATTAGAAAAATAGTGCACAAAAAAGATAATAGACAATGTAGTGAATATAATCAATTGATGAATTTGAATGTAAAAATTTTTACATTTGAGAAAAATAAGGACAATATAACTAATGAAAATATTTTTCTTAATTAATTTATTGATAATGAATAATTTTTTTCAGTGAAATAAGACATTGTAAGGACAATGTAGCGAATATAATCAATTAATAAATTTGAATATAAAGAATTTTTATATTGTAGAAAAATAAAGACAATATAACTAATAAAATTATTTCTCTTATTTAATTTATTGATAATGAATAATTTTTTTTTTTTGAATAAAGGCATTGTGGACACATAATTCTAAATTAAAGAAATGCATATCTATAATTTTTTGTTGTA